AAACATATCCTGGCTGAGGATGACATTTGTATTGTGCCATCAAGCAACAGCTTTAGTTTTTGTTTATAATACAACCCAAAAGAAGCAGCCCTCATGCCCCGATGTCATGACTGGCATACACTCCACAACATGACACGACACTGCACTATACACTCCACTAAACTACCAAAAGGTTTCTGAGCAAGTCTGAGTTCCAATGCGATGTTGAAGTCGGCAAAGATCCATGGACATAACATCGGTAGATGGCAGATTGATTTCTGGGTGAGTGAATCATCCCGATTCTGTAGCCAAAATAGGCTGTGAGCTGACTCACTGTCCGCCAGCATACCAGCAATGTTGTTATAAGAATCATTTTCGCCACCAAGGAGGAATATTGTGAGGGAAGGCGTAACAAGTGGACACAAAATAACGGATTGAGTCATTGAAATAACAACATAACCATTTTAAATTTCCACCTGCAGCTCCTGGACAGGCTAGCAATCATTCAAATGTACAAACACTACAAAAGTGCAAGGAAATACTGTATACAGTACATTGATGTGACACCAGGCAAATGAAATTATGGCTTGCCCCTAACATATAAAGTGTCACTGCATCTACTTCTACTGCTGCTCAAGAAATGTTTGATAATGTTAGTTGTCGGCAAACAACTGATTCACTTTCCATCCTTTTTACTGAAACATTCAAAAGAGCCTCTTACTCACATCCACACTGCACAGAGCATCCAATGACCCTAAAGTTGCTTTCAGGTTGAGTTGCGCGCACCCAAATATTTTGACAATTTAAACATCTCACTGGGCACCCATTGGGAGTCACAGCCGGTCACCTCTGACTCTCATTTTGTCTATGGTGGCCTGAAACGGGACTGCTGAGAACGTAGTGTGAAGGTAGGCTGATAAAATATGCCTTCCTCAAGACAGTCATCAACCTCTTTTTATTCTCGTATGGCAGTAAAATGTTAAACTGCTTCCAAAATGGAATGTGCAGCATCCCGAAAGAGGCTCTGTTTGCTCGTTCCAGTAAGTGGCACTCGAACACTTGAGCGCAAATGATCTTGTTTTGCAACAGGCTGTATGACCTGCCTGGATCAAACATCTTCCCCGATGCACGTTAGGAGGTCACTGAGAAGAATGCGGAGGAGAGTTACATCATGAAATATGCTTACTAACAACAACCATAAACTGCTCAAGCCAGAAAGGTCACCTGAAAACAAAACATCAATATTTACTCTTTTGGTGTAGCATACATAATACGTGCACATTTCTCATCTGACAAAAAGTTATGTTGAACCGAAAAGCACTTTCGTAGTAGTCCATCTTGACTTCATTAAAAATCATAATCCAAAAATGTTGACCTTTACAAGGCAGTCGAGCTACTTTTTCTTTCCCTTGACAGTAGACTGAATGATAAAAAGTGTGGTGCAGCCACAAGGCAGGATGCATTTATGTATGAGTCAGACTGTACTGGTTGAAGAAATTTCGTTTTCCTTCATTCTCACTACACAATCCAGACAGTCAAATCTCCTAGACTTTACTTTATCTGGTTTCATAAAGACTTCTACAGTCTTGGACATAACAGAAAGTTAAGTAGATAGTCTCAGCCTCTGGCTGCATATGAAAGTCGGCTTTCAAACCTGGACGTTTCCATGCCACATTTACACTGCCGCCTGGCTCGCTTATCAGGCTACCTTTGCCAGGGGATCAAAAGACAGACAGACAATGTGCCAGATGGACAAACCGATGGTGGGGTTCAACGGAGCATCATTAACATACAAAGCCAAAAAACCCAAAAGAAAACAAAACAAAAAAACTGTATTTGCTGTAACATTGATAACATTTTCGATACTGTCATTCTACTGGAGAAATCATTGACTTGTGAAGCCACGAGAAATCTTTGCTTGCCAACTAGGGGAAGCCATTCAAGCACTTATTCGATGTCCTGGCTATTCATCTTAAGGTCCATGTACTAGTATGCTCTTTTAGCCAGCTCACGGTGGAACTACTATGCATGAAGTATAACTCGTAGTGGGCAAGACAGTTGTTTGACTAGTGCAGTGATTCTTAAAGTGCGGTGGGAGCGCCACTAGTGGTATGTGGACTCCTTCTAGTGGTACTTAAAAGAATCACTGAACTAAATGTTCAAGACAGTTGTTTGACTAGTGCAGTGATTCTTAAAGTGTGGTGGGCGCGCCACTAGTGGTATGTGGACTCCCTCTAGGTACTTAAAAGAATCACTGAACTAAATGTTCAGATTGTGCATGATGTTATTGTGGCAGCATGGTGTATTTTTATTCGGTCCAGTTGTATTGAACTTTTATGTAAGATAAATTTGTATTTCATCTTAAAGAAATGTTTGTCTCAAACATTCATTGGGGCAACATTTTTATCATTCAAGTACAATGTGAATTTTGCTATGTTTAAGTGCAGTGTCTTTTATTCGGTCCAGTTGTATTGAACTTTTATGTAAAATAAATTTGTATTTCATCTTCAAGAAATGTTTGTTTCAAACATTCATTGGGGCAACATTTTTTTCATTCAAGTACAATGTGAATGTTTAAGTGCAGTGTTAATGTTCAAATGTTACTGAGGCTAAAGGCTCTGTTTCATTTTGAATAACAAACTATTACGGGCTGGAACTGTAATTTAATGTCTGTCATCATGATGTAACTTGGGAAGAATTTTTGTTGGGTGGTACTTAGTGTCAAAAGTATGAGACCCACTGGACTAATGCATCCTGGTCAATCTACTAGTGCACTGAATTGTCTTACTTGTGAGGATCGAGAGCGTACTAGTACATTGATGTTAAGATGGGAATCCACGGAATAAATATTCCAAAGGCTTTTCATAGCTGACTACATAACTCTCTGAACCACAACAGTCCAATAAAACTGATCACGTATTTATACGAGATGCGTCAGAGAGAAGCATTCAGGGACACTGCACGCTCCCTCGCCCCACTCGGATATGTTGATGACCAAACAAACGTTGGCGTTCGCCAGTAACTGGCGGCGACTGAGCCGCCTTTCACCAGCAGACTACCCAGCCGGGCTCGCTGGATCCACACAGTAAATACGCTTTTTTTCTTGAGTAATTACACAACTGATGAAAACATAGTTCAGGTGCTTGGAAATGTCATGGAAAATGGCACCCAGTGGACAATAATAAAACAAATCAAAATAAGCTTTTAAAAAAAAAAAAAAAAAGATTAAATCATGATGTATATATTAGAATGTATGTCTTATATTTAGAGATAAACTGATTTATGCTTCAGGGTTTGATACCAGTCCCGATTAGAAGTAGTCAAGAAGGCCGATATTTGGAGCTGCTATGTCAGGTTTTGCGTGATGGTAGGTAGAGGATCCCAAAAAGTATGGAGAGCAGGGTGGACTGAGCTAAGTATATTCACAAAAAATACTTACAGGAGTAGACTGGAACAACTAACTGAAGTATACGAACAAAGTCCTGAAAAGAAAACCACCAAAGTAGCCCAAAAAAAAACCCCTCTGAGAGAAACAAAACATGACTGGCGGACACAAATAGACACACACATCCAACAAAGCTTGACAGAACCCAGGGAACTAAATACAAGCAAAGTGACGAGACAATGAGAAACACCTGGACAAGACACAAAGGTTTGAGGGAGCTGATTGGTTGAACACAAGGGACACGGATGACGAGAACAGGTGGAGACAAATGAGAGAACAAGACCAAATGTAATCTAAACAGAAACACAACACGATATTCATTTTCAATAAAAGGGAAAATATTGGTGACAAATAAAAATACTCCAACTTCAGCTCTTTGTTGAAATGTCATTAAGCATATTTCTGGTGAACAACTTTTCAGATTTGCAAAATGTTTACGCAATTATAAATGTATCTTATCGGTTGTCAGATATTTTAAAAAGGCATATGTCGATATTTGTCATAATGCCGAATATCGGCGTTGATAACTGCCACTCTATCATCCTAGTGTCCACTTCATGGCAGTGATCTGTGATTGGCCTGGCCAACTCAACATCATCTGCCCGTGGAGGTCTGCTAGCAGCCCCTTATAAATGTACTTTACGCACTTGGATCTTCTGCATGGACTCCTGCGAATCAACGTCAAAGACTGTGCTGAATTTAAAGGGAATGAATGGAGCCGTATTCATTGACCAAGGTAAATCGGTTGTGTCCACTCCCATAGCGCCGCCAACGCCCTGTTCTAACTACACGTATCTACGAAAATACCCCCCCCCCCCAAAAAAATTAATAAAATAAAATAAAATAAAACTCCATGTAGCGCACAATTTGATTGCACTTTGCACTAGACTTTCACTGGGAAAGGAAATATAGCCCTGAGAGATACTTCTTATCTCTAATATTAAATCAAGAGTACCCTTTAGTTTCTTTATTATTAAATCAAGAACATCCTTTAGAGTTACTTCCAATAAGATAACCCTTTATACTTATTTTTCATTGCATTTTATTTCGTTACATTATTATATTTATTAAATCTAGAATATCCATTAACATTATTTTGAATATTAAGTCAAGCATACCGATTAATTACTTCACTTCAAATATAGAATACAGTTAGTGCTAATAGTAAATCTAGAAATGCCCATTAGCGTTACTGATGACATCATGTCAAGTGTATTGACTACAGTGTACTCATCAGCGTTACTATCAATATTAAATGTAGAATACTCATAGGATTACTTCTAATATTGACTCTCAAGTTCTCATTAGAGCTATTTTGAATATTACATCAAGAAAACGCATTAGTTATTTCATTTTTAAATCTTGAATACCATTACAGTAACTTTGAATTAATGTACAATACTTGCGGGGGTTATGAATAATAATACTTACCCAGAGAGACGTTAAATCACCTGTAGAGTGCGATACTTCAAATGAATTGCGGGCTACTTGCAGAGTACGTGTGATACATGAAATGTAATGAAGAGTACGACGTGTAGCGTTCGGTTAAGAAGTGAAATGAAGGAGAGTTGTGTACCTGGCGAGAGGTCCCCATCACTTTGCTCTCCGGAGTCAGAGTCCATGTTCTCCTGCGGGACACAAGGAGGTTGCAATAGCTCTCTGATTCCTCTTCTGTCACGCTCCCTTCTTCCCCTCTCCTCTTCTGATTTTCTTCTCTCCACGCAAAAAAATAAAAAAGATGGAAACCACAATTTATTTTCTCCCCGCTGAACTTCCCTTCCCCACCCAGCCCTTGGGTCACTGCAGCGGTGGGAGGAATGCTTTAAGGATCATTTGCTGAGCTGTCCTTTTGGTCTTTTTTTTTTCCAGCTTGCGCTCCCTTCCCCTGACTCCTTCACTTTCCTTCTTTCTTCTCCCTCTCATCTACTTTTCTGATGCCCACTCTTCTCCCCTCCCCTCCCAACATCTCAGTCCGCCCCCTCTCTTTCTCGTCCCTCCTCTTCCTCCTCCTCCTTCTCCTCTCATCCGGTGCTGTCCACTCCAATTCTTTCTGTACCTCTTTCTGTATGCAGCCTGTTCCTCCCTCTCTCTTCTCTCTTCCTCCGCTCGCTCTCTCTGGGTGAGAGCGCTGCTTGTGTGTTTTAGCGGAGCGGTGGGAGAGACTTATTCGAGGCAATTTAAAATTCATCCCAGCAGTATGAATCCCATGACCTCTTGTTACTGGCTCTCATAAAATGAGGCCCTAACTATCCACGGTGGTCATATGATGTAAGGTCAGTTGCTGTTTAACCATAGGCAGTAAATGTTCCTTGCACATAATCTCCAAGTCCAATCTGGGCCTCTTTAGGGTTGTAAATAAACTTGAAGCAGTGTTATGTAAACATGGTGTTGGTCAGGGAACCACAATTGATCTATTTATCATGGTTGTTTTTAATGTTGGCCCTGGTGGTGTTGTAAACTCTGCTGTGTGGTGGAGTGTCCTTGAATGAACTATTACCGTATTGGCCCGAATACATGACGGCCCTAATTATAAGACGACCCCCTCTTTTTCAAGACTCAAGTTTGAAAAAAGATTTTTTGAACACCAAATTAATTTTTATACAGAAAATAATTACAGTACATCTGAGACAAATCATTATAACAATATATTTGAGAGAAAAAGCATGTTATTTGCCTCATTAAAATCTTAATATCTGAACATTTAAATATGTAAACTAAAGTACAAGCACATTCGTAAATGAATGGCTTCTGGTTTTTGAAATATAAATTACATCATAACTTCCTCTCAGCTGCCGGTTAACCTGGCCGATCTTCGACCCACTTTTCTCCAGATTGTCGCTACGTTTCTCCATTTTCTGTTATCGCTTCAATGATATCTGGCCCCATCTAGCATCTTGAATGGGTATAACGTCTAGACCCGAATATAAAACGATCCCCACTTTTTCAGTCTTATTTCAATGCAAAAAACACCGTCTTATATTCGGGCCAATACGGTAATTTCACCCCCTCCAGAAAATCATTTACTCCACTATGCACTTGTGCCAACTTTCCACATTTAATTTCCTGAGTGTGACCAAAATAATAATTATTTTTGTTAACAAGCTGGACAAAAATGATAGTACCTCAAGAAAATACCGAAAAGGATTTGACCATAAAGATGTTCAACTAATGTATATCCTTTGGAGACAAGCAGTCACTGTACCTTGTGCTGACATTGAATGCATCACACTAAACATGGACCAAACGAAGCAAAGGGGAGAGTTGTCCCAGGACACTGGAAAGAGAATTTTAGACAAGCATGTTAAAGGTAAAGTAAATGAGACCATCTCCTAGCAGCTTGAAGTGCCAATGATTACTATGTCATTGTCCCCAAGCAGTGGTTCTTGTGCCCAACCAGTTCATATGCACATTCACCAAACCCTTCATTAGTGAAAACAAAAATATGACTTTTTACAAATTCAAGACATAAAAAACGCATTTATTAAAAACAGAAAAAAAGTAAATACAATTTCAAGACATAAGTATACGTTTTTTAAATTTTACGACGTACTAGCACGACAGTCACACGTTGACTACTGAGTGAACAAAATTTCCCGCAGCACTGATTGGACAAGCACTGTAATGTGATCATCTGCAGCCAGTTATGGCCAAGCGAGCGCGTCATAACTAATTGACATGTTGAGTCAGGTATGTCTTAACCTCCATGGCAGATGCTCCGTCGAACCCCTGAAACCGATTTACCAACAACCCTAGCGTTCAATCGAACCCAGGTTAAGAACCACTGTTCCCAAGGGACCCACAATGGTCATCGTAATTCAAGCACAGCTACAAGTAAATCTTGAAGCGTCACTTGGCCTACTTTCAAAACTGCGTCTCACCACCCACCACTTTTTGCTGCATACTACTTTAGCTTGGAAGTGATGCATAGAAAGCTATTCCTCATGGTGTGGAAATGACTGAAAGCACAACGGTCTATTGTTTGTGCTTGGTCTTCTGCTATGTGTCTTCCACACGGATTCCAGCGTGCGGGGGCAGGTGCGCGTGCAGTTGGTGGCCTGACAACAGTTGCAGGCCAAAGCGGCCCCCAGGTGTGGAGTTGATGGACGCGCAGCAGGAACGTTGGACACCAGATGCCATTAACGGGCCTCGGGCTTCCAGAGAGCTTCAATATTAACCCGCGCCCAAGTGTCTGTTGATGTATTCGGTATCCTTGATATCCAGCTTAAGCTCCACTTGTAAATATGCTCTTTGTCCTCGCCAATAAAACAATTCGATGCACGAGTAGAATGACAAGCATGCAAAAGTGGAACAAGTGCCGGACTTGTAAAGTTTCTTTTCCGCAACTGTATCACATTTCTGTACACGGGTAGGACAACATACTGGTCGGACAACTACATTTTTGTAGTGAGGCAAAACTCTTCACTGACTAACTAGTGCAATTTCATCATGTAACTTGCAGCATGGCAAGCAGTTTGATCATTTATTGCAGAACTAATAGCATGCTGTGGCCAACTAGTGCAGCTTTGCTTCACTAGTAACATGCAGGCAGCTACTAGTGAAGACAAATAGCATACTAGTACATGAAACTGAAACGGTTTAATATAATACAATACATCTTTATTTATATAGTGCTTCCATAACAGTTGCAGCTGTAACAAAGCGGTTTATAGATCAGTTAACATAAAATGACAAAATAATATAACAGATCATATATAATAAAACATGCAGTAAATTGATTGCAAAAGTGGGGCCAAGAGTGATGTGGAAGTGGAAAAGTCATGATACTAGTGAGCTCAATTGTCTTAGTAGTGAGGACAACAAATGTAACAGTACATGGACCTTAACCTGGATTAAAAAAAAAAACATCTCAAAAGTGCTATATGAAAAGCTTCCAATTGAGCATTTTGGTGCTACTATCTGGGTCCAGGAGGCAACTAGTCTGGGACACATGCTGATTGTTTGGGCCTAGTAATGATATTAGTGCAGCACAGCAGAAAATGATAGTGGCACTTGTATTGGGAAAATATTACTATGAACTCATTTTACTAGTGCACTCTTGTCATTCTGCTGCTGTGCTGAATTGTCTTACTAGTGAGGGCAAAGAGCAGACGAGTGAAAAGTACCACAGCTCTCCATGCAAGCCTCATTAAATAGATAACAGACTTCTCCCGAACCAGCAATGACAGCGTACATTCGATACAACTCCTTTTGTGATGTGTCCACATTTCCAATGCTTTTTGAAGTGTGCCACTTGAGAGTAAAAAAAAAAAAAAAAACATTTCTCCTCTTTTAATGCAGCAATATTTACAATGAGACGATCTGAAGCATCTTTTTCTGACAGTATGAACTCCCAATTGTTGTGATCCAGTCATTGCGGTGAACATTCCCGACTGGGTTTCTTTGGACCACCGTGCTGGAGAAATGGGATGCATTTTTATGAGATACTCTTTGAAACTATTTTATCCTGATGATTAAAATCGCAAGCTCCTATAAACACATCCGGTGAACTTATAAAGGCTTATAAGTATGCACCATGGAAAATGCCACTCAGTATTACACAATCAAACGACTAGCACTGTAGAGAAACGAGTAGATTTGCCTGTTAGATTTCCATGGCAACTACAGCTTTTACTGACGCGGTATTCCAACAGGGCCGAGAGATAAGATGGTCACTGGCATTTGAGAATTTTCACACTTTGTGTGTGGCGTCCAACAAACAGCACCAAGTCTGTCAGAGAGCAGAGATGATGAGAAATACTCATTTTTTTGTTGAAACGCTCTTACGTTAGGGGTATTTGGAAGGCTCACGGGCATCACGCCAAAGCAAACCTGTCATGTATACGCAAGTACATGGAACACCTACTGTGTATGAGGAGGGAAAGTGGCATTTGAATTGCAAAGATAACAAGAAGCAGATTCAGTTGAGCAGAGAAAACTAACTGAGGTTAAACAATAAAAATGTTTGTTTTTGTTCATTTTTTAGGGGAACTGTACCATTTTGGAACATAGCAGAGGGAATGATTCCTATACGACACAAAAAAGACAAAATCATTCTTTCAAAAAAGTGAAAAAAAAATCAAAAGCCATGTTAGCAAGATATTTCCTTCTTCAAGTTGGATGATTACAAGAGAACAGACGACCCTGGAGATCAGAAAGTTCCAGTGCTTGCAACAATCTCCTGTTCTCCTTGTTTACAAATCGAGAAAGAGATTGGGAGTGTCCAGAGAGTTGGTTTGGCATGTGTGTGTGCGCACAGCATTTGATTGGCAATAGGAAATGACAGCATCAGGCCCTCATGTGACAAAGCAAAGTGATAATGAAGGCGGTTCACCCTGGAGATGGTAAATGCCAATATGTATGAGTGTTCTGTTTTAAAAATAAAATGTACCTGTTAAATATTCATTATCTTGACCTCATTGTTTGCTTGCGTTATGTAACCGGATATTAAAACTGAATATAAATGGTTTTAAAATAGTATACTGAGAAGTTAGATTTTCTAGGAAGTAGAAAAGGCAAACTGAAAACAGCATACATCAACACTGAATAAAGTTATGCAGCATTCAAAGTGCTAAGCTCTCCCTGCAGGTACTGTAGAGATTTAACTTGTACATGAAACTGACCTTTCAGCAGAGCAATAAGCATCAGAATGATGAAAAGAAAAAAAGTGAGTTGAGGAGCTTCGTTTTGATAAAATTAGTGCTTTGGAAGTTTCTTGTGTCACCTTAGTGCCGGGGAACCATGTTGATGTGAGTTGAAGCTATTGATTCAGACAAACATTGTGCTTTGTCGCTATCTTGTGGCATCTTCGTGCCAAAGATCAACGTGGAAGTGAGTTTAGAAGCTTAATTGGGACAAAACCAGTGATTTTAGCCATTTTGTGCCATCTAAAATGAACTATAAACCTTTCTGGTGGGGCGTCATTTACACATTTTTGCAAAAAAGAACATCCTCCATTCTCGCTGAAAACTCACCTATTCATTTTTTTGTGCTCAGGCCAAAGCAACAAAAGCATTACTTTGGTGCCTTCTTGTGGCATCTCAGTGCTAAGGAACTACAAAGGTAAGGAACTAGGGCTTCAGGTAGACAAAAGTCAAGTGTAGCCAGCATTTCGTGGCATCATTGTGCCAAGGAACTATGTCCAAGTGAGTTGAGGAGCTTCATGTAGACAAAAATAGTTCTTTGCTGCCATCGTGTGGTATTTAGAGACAACTACAAATTCGGGGTGGGGGGGGGGGGG